TGCTGGTACTGAGGACCCGGCCGCTGGAGTCTCCTCTGCTTCCGGAGACGCTGTGCGACCGCGACCGTACTTTGTACCGCTCCTTCAGCAGGTTCTTGGGCAGGCTCCTCCTCCTTGTCCTCCTCCCTCCGTAGAGTGTCCTCTGCCTGTCCAGCCGCAGTCACTGTTACCACCTACCTCGCCTCTCCCTGCTCCCTCTCCGTACACTGGTCCCACAGGAGGTCTTACAGAGCGTCGTGAGCCTGAGTCTCGTCCTGCGTCGCCTGTTCGTCCTGCTCGCACTGGTAGTCGTGTCCGTCGTGAGCGTCCTCCTCCTGTCCCAGGCACTCACTACATGACTCTGCGTCCCTCTACTGTCTTCAGCGTGTCCCTCTACCGTCTCCTCCTGCGTCTTCTTTGCCTCACGTTCCAGACACTGAGTCTGACCGGTACCGTGCTGAGCACCCTACTGTCACGCGTCTCCTCGCTACTGTTGTCACTGACCCTACCTTTGAGTCCTCGACTGCGTCTGCTCTGGTCGCTGAGTTGGTTGACTTTGCTGCTGCCTGTCGTCTAGACTACGCTGCGAGCCTTGTTGCTGAGTCTGAGTCTGAGTCTGTCTGTCCTCCGTCCGTCGGGGGTGAGTGTGCTCTTGGCACGGACGTCCTTGAGGACAGACAGGAGGAGTTCCAGTGTCTTGCTGCTGCTTTGCCCCGTCTCGTGTCCTTGCTAGTTGCCCCTGAGGGAGACCCGGATGCACCAGACATCCCGACCCCGCGCACTTACGCTGAGGCGATGGCGGGTCCCTACTCCTCTCAGTGGCAGACAGCCATGGACGCCGAGATGGCCTCCTGGAAGTCCACACGCACCTACGTCGACGAGGTTCCCCCTCCTGGGGCGAACATCGTCAGTGGCATGTGGATTTTCAGGGTGAAGCGGCCGCCGGGTTCTCCGCCTGTCTTCAAGGCGCGTTACGTGGCTCGAGGCTTCAGTCAGCGAGAGGGAGTTGATTTCTTCCAGACCTTCTCCCCCACCCTGAAGATGACTACTCTTCGGGTGCTGCTGCACATAGCCGCTCACCGCGACTACGAGCTTCACTCACTTGACTTCAGCACTGCTTTCTTGCAGGGCAGCCTGCACGAGGAGATCTGGCTGCGCCGCCCACCTGGCTTCACTGGGTCGTTTCCTCCTGGTACCCAGTGGAGGCTTCAGCGGCCGGTCTACGGTCTCCGCCAGGCTCCGCGTGAGTGGCACGACACACTGAGGACTACACTTGCGGCTCTTGGGTTCGCGCCTTCTACAGCTGACCCGTCGCTGTTCCTGCGCACCGACACTTCGCTGCCGCTGTTCTACATCCTCGTGTACGTCGACGACTTGGTCTTTGCCACTGCTGACACTGCAGGACTCGCCTACGTGAAGTCAGAGCTGCAGAGGAGACACACGTGCACAGACCTGGGTGAGCTGACAAGCTATCTTGGCTTGCGGATCACCCGGGACAGAGCACGGCGCACCATCACCCTGACTCAGTCACACATGGTGCAGCAGGTTCTCCAGCGCTTCGGCTTCACGTACTCCTCGCCTCAGTCCACTCCTCTGCCTACTGGTCACTCGCTCTCAGCTCTGCCTTTGGATGAGTCCGTAGAGCCGAGTGGCCCGTATCCAGAGCTTGTGGGCTGCCTCATGTACCTGATGACCTGCACTCGACCTGACCTTGCATACCCTCTTAGCATCCTTGCACGCTATGTCGCTCCTGGCCGTCACAGGAAGGAGCACATGGATGCCGCTAAGAGGGTGTTGCGCTACTTGTGCAGTACGTCGGGCATGGGGCTTGTGCTTGGAGGGCGAGACCGAGTTGTTCTCACAGGGCACTCAGACGCTTCTTGGGCAGACGACCAGGCCACTCAGCGGTCGTCTCAGGGTTACACCTTCAGCCTTGGCTCTGGCTCAGTTTCTTGGCGCTCTACACGCTCTTCTTCTGTTCTCGGCTCCAGTTGCGAGGCTGAGATCTACGCTACAGCCATGGCTGCCCAGGAGCTACGCTGGCTGACCTACCTGCTGACCGACCTCGGAGAGCCGCCTCGTTCTCCTCCAGTCCTGTACGTCGACAACAAGGCTGCCATTGCCTTGTGTGAGGAGCACAGACTGGAGCACAGAACGAAGCACATCGCCCTGCGGTACTTCCTTGCTCGTGAGCTGCAGCAGCGCGGTCAGCTTTGTATTCGCTACGTGGCCACTGAGGCCAACACTGCTGATGTGTTCACCAAGGCGCTTCAGCCTCGTGACCATCAGCGCTTCTGCACTCTACTAGGCCTTGTGCCTACTGGACCTCACTTACTTACCTCTTGACTTTGCTTGTACTGTGATCACTATATATATCTATACCTGCATGTTTACTCTTGCTAGGTTGTGATCACTGAAACTCTTGCTCTGTTATAAACCTGCATGTGAACTGGTCTTGTGACCACTAGCTTGTGCTCGGAATTTGTGTGGAATCCTTGAGATCCACCCTGAGCTTGCCTTCCTTTGCTTTGACTGGTCTCGTGACCCTGTGGTTGTCTCCCACTGCGCCTATGGGGGTGTGTCAAACATTATATGTTTATATGATTGTAGGCTGTAGTGGGTTACACCTTAGGGGGTACACTAGATTAGGGTTTACTACTTGTATCCAACTTTGTGCTAGTACAGTCATTCCAGTCCGTTATTACTGACATTCGTCACCCCACCGGCATTCGGAGAATCGAATTCCTCATCCTCTGGAAGTACCGTACGCCAACTGAAGATAGCTGGGTGCCCCTGGCCAACATCGAAAACCACCCTGCCCTGCAAGTGTTGTCAGAATCCCAGTCACTAACCACTGGGATAAAAGGGCTTGTTTATGTAGCGGGTGAGTGCGCCCATAACCCCCCAGGCCAACGTGCCTGTAACCCTTCCCTAGGATCAATCGGGGATCACCAGTGGACCTCTGACAAGTGTACCTGAGGAGCCGGGGTTTCCGCGATATACACGCACTCGCGTAGCGGAGGGGGCTTATTGAGGGGGGGGGGTGTTGAGATTAGGTAGTTAGGGCCTAGGACTTAGGCTTGGTAATTGGCCAAAAGAGGGTTGACTAAGAGAAGACATTACAAGATATAGAAGCAATAGAAAGGAGACAAGGCATAGCAAATTGGTGCACCACCAACAGTAAGTATTATAACTACACTAAAGCTAAACTACAAGCGGTTACATAAGATATATATGTATATATATCACGACACCCCCCAATAATTGCCTGTAGTGATAACTATGTGCAGCAACACCCACTGCAGGGGTACACCAAGGCAGAGAGCAGCAGAAGGAGGAGAGGACAAACGAGGAGGAGGAGAGAGGAAGAGAGGGGGAGAAAGGAGAGGAGGAGGTGGGCAGCGACTGAAGCTGCTAGCACACTGGCTACTTGAGCAACTGGCTCACGGGCTACTGGGGTAACTGGCTCGTACGCCTGGAGCATCCTGCTCGTACGGCTAGAGCAACTGACCCACGGGCGACTGGAGCAACGGGCCACTGGCGACTGGTGCTGCTGGCTTCACGATGCAACCCCCCCCCCCCCCCTCTCTCCCTCCAACCTCTCCCTACAACGGCGGAGACGGCTGAGGAGGAAACAGAGAGGAGGGATGACTAAAGGAGAGGATAGAGGAGGAGGCGGCTGGAGGAGAAGAGAGAGGAGGATAATGTGGGGCTGGAAGGTAAGAGATGGAGCGACAGGGGCTGCTGTTGGACTTTCACGCCACCCCCTCACCCTCCCCTTCCCCCCCTCCAGCGATAGCGGCTGCAGGGAGAGAGAGGAGAGAGGGGAGGCGATTTCATCCACCCCTGCCTCCCCCATTCTCGGCCACCAACCTCATCTCCTCCCCACGGCAGAGGCCGCGGCAGGGGCAGGAAGGGCAGCGCCGCTGGTGCTGGCGGGCGGCGCGCTCTGCTGTAGCTGCTGCTCGCGCTGGCGGGTGGCGCAGGCTGGTGGCGTGCGCGCTGCGCGCTGGCGGGCTGTGCGCTGGGCGCAGGTGACGGCGCGATGGCGTGTGCGCTGGAGTGAGCGACGGGGCGACGCGGCAGCGGAACGAGATTGGCCGCGACGCGCGCACCCGAAACGCGCGTGAAACGGAGGGCCGTTGGGGCGCGATTCGGGCACGCCTTTGGAGCGCGAAACGAGGGACCCGCGGGGATCGTCCATGGGGCGACTCGGGGGACCTGCGGGGCGCATTACGGGCTGCGCGACGGCTGGTGGGCCCATGATCCTTCAAAATAAAGGGGAAGGTCCTTGGATAGAACCTGCTCTGATAGCATGTTGAGATTAGGTAGTTAGGGCTTATGACTTAGGCTTAGGAGATTGGCCAAAAGAGGGTTGACTAAGAGAAGACATTACAAGATATAGAAGCGATAGAAAGGAGACAGGGTATAGCAAACTGGTGCACCACCAACAGTAAGTTTTATAATTACACTAAAGCTAAACTACAGGCAGTTATATAATATATATATCACGACAGGGGGGCAGGGGAGGGGGGGGGGGGTAGTGTGAGGAATTTCTCGACATTCCTTACTGCGACTGTCAACATCGCATGCAGCCGCACCTGTTGTTCGCCCGTTACTGTTAACGTGGCTTCGCCAACTTTGCGCGCACTATTTTACCAAACCATGCACCGCTGGCCCGGCCGAGTCGGCCTACGCTTTGGGACTAGCCCGAACCTCGATGCCAGCCTAGCACTAGCTAGCTCGCACGCACCGCGTTACCGTTTGCATGTTTCGCGTATAAATGTTCGCTCATGCCTTCGCTCACATTTTGTACTCGTTTGACACCTTAGTGCAATCCTCGCTACCTAGTTCTATTGCAACCATAAACGTTTGGAAATTATATCAAGTGTTACATGCCTTAGGGACCAAAAAATGGATGGATGAAGTTGATTCCTCGTCGAATTGATCAATCAGGGCTCTCTCATTCGAGTTCCCTTGCATGTTACAGCTGGTTCCTTGGGACCCTCGCGGCAGCGACCATGCGGCCCTACGATAGGACTTTGGCTGGCCCTTCGAGCCGCTCCCGTGACTTTACCTCTGCGGTAGCGACCGTTGCGATGGTTCCCCCTGGTCCCACCCGATCGAGGTGTAGAAATCTCGCTTCCCAGCTCCTTCACAAACCCCTCGTCCCCTTCACGGCAGACCTCGTTTTCCTCCCCATCCACCACAGCCGCTCTCGCTTCCAGCCGCCCGGTGCAGATTGCGGCGCGCCATGGAGTCTCTGCCCCCGGACGTGCTCTACACTGTGCTCCGCCTCGCGCAGCCCTCGGGGCTGCCGATCGCGCGGCTCGCGTGCGTGTCGACGGGGTTTGCGCGGATGGCGAAGGAGCATCTCTGGAGGTGGCACTGCCGCGACCAACTCGCTCTCGACGCATCTCCGGGCGACGCGCAACGCTCCGACTCCGAGGCTGGAGCTGATGCTGCTGATGCCAACGCCGTAGGTGACGCGGCCGCTGCTACAACGGTCAGCGGCGAAGATCCGAAATTTGGTCGCGAGCTGCTGAATCGCATGCTGCGAAGCATGGAGAGCGAGGAGATTCTCAACCTCGCGAAGCTCGTGAACGTGTGTCCGGGCGTGCGAACCGCGCTGCGGCGAGGCAAGGTGTACAAGGCTATGAACTGCGGGTGCAGCGACCGCAGCGAGTGCCCATGCTGGGAACCTCTGCCCAGTCCGGAAGACTTACCCGACAGCGCGCCTCACTGCCACTGCCTCAGGAAGTTTGAGATCATGGCTGTCAACCGCACCGGCGCTCCAGCGGTCCATTTCCTGATTCTTGGGTGCTTTTCGCATTCGAGCGAGGAGCTCAACGACATGCCGTTTGTTCTCATTCGAGGAATCGTCATGGACTTTCACAGCTCCAAGTAAGTCTCGTGCTGCTGCTTTGCTTGCCTTCCGTGGCTAGTCCACCAACCTGGGTGATTTCCAAGTCACCTAAGGTGTGGGCTATTTGTTGTGTGAATTTCCTCGTACCACACTGGAAAGCCACACACACATGCCTTGCTCAACCATCGAAACTGCCTTTTGGCCAGACTGCTTTCACTCATGTTCACTTGTACCGATTTCTTTTTTTGCATCATATGGGATGCAAAAAAAAGAAATTGCTACAAGTGGGCGTTAGTGAAAGCAGTTTATCACGTGAGAAAGGGATGTTAACTCCATTTCTATGGTTGTCATGCGCGTGCTGCACCCCCGTCATCAACTTGCGCACAACTGATGCCTCTCTGCCTCTTCACTCTCATGCGCTTGTCAGCAGGATGTACGAGTTGGCCTCACAGTCCCCCTTCATTGTCGACGAGCAGTGCCCGTACTGCTCCTCCCAGGTGGGCTGTCATCCCACATCCTATGGCTTCTGGCTCCCCCGAAAAAAAAATGCGTTGCCAAAATGCCAAAATGCTCCTCCAACACGTTTTTTTTCCCAAAATGCCTGCTTTTCTCAAATCCGGCCCTCCTTTGATTGCCTTCAAACACCCCGACCCCGGTGTGCAATTCGTGTGGCAGGTGTGGAACGTGTTTGCAGTGTTGAGCATTGCGGTAACGAGGATCATGGTGTGCAATCTGATGAACAAGTACAACGTCATGTTCCCCGAGATGCTCTTCTACGTCTGCACCAACGTATGTGCTGCCTCCTTGCGCTCTTCACTCATCTTCGCTTCCTTTCCCCATTCCCTCCCACCGCACTTTACCCCCCACCCCCTGTAGCCGCGTTCCTCTCCCCCTTTCTCCCCCTACCTGACTTCTTTGCGTTTGCAAGTTTGTGTTGACGTCATACGGGGTTGAGGTGCTGTGTTGGCCCTCGTGCCCTGTGCACGTGCAGGGGCATCTGTACGGGCTGCGGCGGCTGGGGCATGACGACCTGGCAGCGAGCAGCGCAGGGGAGGCGGAGGTGGAGGTGGAGATTTCCGTTCCGCCCACGCACGCGCTCCTGGGGGGCAGTCACAGCGACCATGGCAACGAGGATGATGAGGAGGAGAATGGGGATGTGATGGAGGAGGTGTTGGAGGGAGTGCTAGGGAGGGTGTTGGAGGGGGTGATGGGGCACGTGGTGGAGGAGGACGAAGCTGGTGACCATGTGAGCATCCGCCTTTCTGCCAACTTGCTTTGTGATTCTTCTGCTCATTCTTTCATTTCTCCGATAGGCACCCTGCTGGTGCGTGGCTCTATATTGCCTTTTGAGTGCTACAGCTTGGAGCGTGCAAGGTGGCAGGGGAGGGGAAGTCTGGTTCAAGCATTTGTATAGCTGCTGTCGACGTAGCTGTGAATGCTGCATAATCTCTTCTTATTCCCTCATCACTTGCCTGAATCCCCCGACTTGCAATTCCCTAATGGAACCGCATTTCCTCTTTTGCCCCATCTCATCACTAACCCACTGGAGGCAGACCGAACCGGGCATTCCCGCCAGTGAAGCACAAGCACCTGCACTCACTGTGCCTCCTGTTGCTGTCGGGTCAGCTGTGACACCTGAGCTTGCACATGCTCATGTGGTGGAGCCTGCTGCCCGTGCCACCGCACCAGCATGTGCACCCAGTGCTGCTCCTGTGGCGGTCTCTGTGCCTGCCCCTGCCATCGGTGCTACGTCTGCTGCAGCATCAGAGTCTGCGAGCCCGATTCTTGAAACAGCAGCACCTCCTCATGCACAACTGTTACACGCGCCACAACCAGGCAAGCCCTTCCCTGCCTTGCTCACTCGCCCTGCAAGTGGGGATGCAGTCTGTTGTTATTTCAGTCTGCCAAAATTCCCTAGGTCCCTTGTAGACCCACAGTATTTGACTTGAGTACTCAAATTTTGCCGCTGCTCTCTGTCCTACCTATTCCCTCTGGTTGCGGCCTATCTTGGCCTTGCACCTCTTCCCCTGCCCTGCCTGCCTGTCCACGCACCTCCCATCCAGCCAAGGGCGGCTCTGCTGCTGCACCTCTGAGCACCATGGTTGATGCCCTGTCTCTGGATGCACATGCGACAGCACCACCGCCACCATCTGCGTCCTCTGCAGCTGCAAGCAAGGCGGCAGCTCCTGAGGAGTAGGTAGCAGAGGGGGTACGGTGTGAGTGTGTGACATCTTACTGCACCTGCTGACGTGATTCTCCAGCTTCGTAAGCTACTATCTGCTTACTGGAGGATGCTGGTGCTCACTGGGAGTGCTGTGCTAGTGTGTCAAATTTGAGGGCAATTGGTGTATGGTTAAGAGTAGTCCACATTCTTTGTAGAACTCGTGTTCTTGAGGATGCATCAGGGATTTGTGTCGAATAATGCCCTGAGGTTGAATGCTAATTGCCTGCTTTTGGCTCCTTGTAGAGTTGGGCCTGCATTGACTCCGGTGTATAGAAGAAACTGGTCAAATAGAGAATACATCAAACCTTCTAGTACAAGACGTTCTTCAAATCTACTCTTTCAACACAAGCTCTGAATTCACTCTTGTGGTCCATACACGCTACGAACACAGCCATTGGCCGAAACCAGCCTAGAGGTGAATGCGTGTGGCAGTCCACTTGTACCCTCTCCCCCCCGCTCCTCCCTCTTTCCCCTCGTCTACCATGCGCCTTGTGTGTCGATGGCGAGAGGGTGTTTTCACGTGCACGTAGTCCACCTGCAGGAGATCACACAGGGTGCAAGTCCATGGGAATGGATCACAAGAAGCAGAGGCGTGATTGGGTGTGCAAGCTTAGACCTATGGGACTTTTTAGCAGTGTGCTAGCTTGTCAGCCTGTGAGCGTGTGAGCCTGCGAGCGTGTGAGCCTGTGAGCCTGTGAGCCTGTGAGCCTGTGAGCCTGTGAGCCTGTGAGCCTGTGAGCCTGTGAGCCTGTGAGCCTGTGAGCCTGTGAGCCTGTGAGCCTGTGAGCCTGTGAGCCTGTGAGCCTGTGAGCCTGTGAGCCTGTGAGCCTGTGAGCCTGTGAGCCTGTGAGCCTGTGAGCCTGTGAGCCTGTGAGCCTGTGAGCCTGTGAGCGTGTGAGCCTGTGAGCGTGTGAGCGTGTGAGCCTGTGAGCGTGTGAGCGTGTGAGCCTGTGAGCGTGTGAGCCAGTCACCCATACCTCATGGGGCTCCAGCAGCAGCAGGCAGAAGTCCTTCACGGGCTCAACCGACGCAACCTTATCCGACTCCACCTTCTGCGCCTCACCCTTACTCCCCGCACTGCCCCCCTGTGCGTCTGCCTCTGTGAGCAACGCCAGTGCTGCCAGTGATAACTCGTGCCCGTCCGGCCGCCCCGCGGCCTGTGCACCCCCCTCACTGTCCTCCTCCCACGGCGTGCCCGGGTGGCCTCGGCAGTACTGCCACCGCTGCTGCGGTGTCAGCGGCTGCCATGCCGCATGCCTCAGCTGGCAGAGGGAGGGAAGGAGGGAGGGGCCCAGCGAATGCAGGGAGAAGCAAGCTGAGAAACGGGGCGAGGGTGGCAGTGGATTGAAGGAGGCTTGGTCTTGGAGAGGGAGGAAATGGAGGGAGATTGTGGGACATGGTGATGGGCGGGCATGGGGGAAGACAGTGGATGGATGCGGGAAGAGAGTGGGTTGAAGGGGGATGCAGGAAGAAGGAAAGATGAGTGATGAGTGATGTGAGAGAAGAGTGAGTGGGAGAAGAGGAGAGATGGGTGTCAATGCGGAGAACAAGAGGCAGAACCAGGGACGAGGTGGATACTGCAGGGGGCGAAGAGCACACATGGGGCTTGCGAGATCCAGCCACGATTAGAGGGGGAAAGAGCGGTTGAGGGAGATGGAGTGAGCACATGGAGAAGGTGGGTAGAAGCATGTGCACGAAGTGGTATGCAATGCGGGAATGAGGGAGAGGAGGAAACTAAGGAAAAGGGGGCAAGCCAGGAGGGCGCAAGGGAGGGAGAAGAAAAGAAAGTGCGGAGGAAGTGAGAAAGGATGATGGGGAAGGAAGGCACCTTTAAGAGCGAAGGGTCGGGTGGGTCGGCATGGACGGTGGACATGCTGCCAGCGATGCGGTACTGCTCCCATGACTCGCAGAAGTACCAGCACAGCTGGGGGAGAAGGGGCGCACGCACACGCACAATGGGAGTGCAGTGAGGGGGGACGCAGGTGGGGCGCTTTGCATGAGGACATGATGACAGGAAATGATGGGCGAATGAGGCTAGAGGAGGAAGTGGGGAAAGTAATACGAAGTGAAAGCATCAGGGGCGAACAAGTAAGATTGATGAAATGTATTCACGAGTCGTGCACCTCAATAAGTGGGCATTCCTCGATCTCCTTGACCTGCTCGGGTAGTGACGTGCGCCATGCACGTGCATCGCGTGAGACAGGTGAGACAGTCACACACGACGAGCAGCAGGCATGCCATGAGTCCATCCAAGTGAATGGCGCATGAGTGTTGGTGTCCATGCACGTGCGTGTGCATTACTCATGTGCATGCCATGCCATGGGGAATGCACGCACATGGGAGATGCGGGCGAGGGGAGGAGGAAGTGGGGTGGGAGAAGTTGGGGGGGGGCGGGGGGGGTGGGGGGTTTGAGGGTACGAATACACTTGCAGGGGCACAGTCAAGCGGGCGAGCACTGGAGCAATGAGAGGGTTTGGATATGTAAGGGAGGAACGGACAGAGAGGAGGCGAGATGTGGTATCAGGAAAAAGGGCGAGCAAGTGAATGAGAGTGGGGGGAGGAAAGAAGAGATTGAATGGGGGAGCAAGGAAGGGAGGGAGGGAGAGAGGGAGGGAGGGAGGGAGGGAGGGAGGGAGGGAGGGAGGGAGGGAGGGAGGGAGGGAGGGAGGGAGGGAGGGAGGGAGGGAGGGAGGGAGGGAGGGAGGGTGGGAGGGGGGGAGGGGGAGGGGAGCAGCAAGGAGAGGTGAGGGAGGAGGGAGGAAGCGCACCTTGCTGCTGCGGCCATCCGTGTAGAATATGAGGTTGTCGGAACCTTCCATGAACCCTCTGGGGGGAGGAACACAGCCCAACAACCATGCGGTGATGACTTGAATTGGAATGGTGTGGATGGGTGAGAGGGCGTGCATGCAAGGTGAAAGCGGCATGGGAGCGGCGCGGAGGGAGAGGAGGAGGGGAGGGAAGGGGATTGGGGTAGGAGTGAGCATGGAAGCAGCAGCGGCGAAAAGAGTATGTGAGTGCTGCAGAGGCGATAGTGTGACCTTGCCTCCGAGGGGCGAGGCGGGGGGGAAAGGGCGATGAGTGGGGAAAGAGCGAGGCAGGGAGGGAAGGCCAATATGGGGGGGGAGCTGAGCCGGGTGGAAAGGAGTGGCGGGGAGGAAAGGTCAAGCGAAGGAGGCGTCAAGGCGGGGAAGAAGGGGAAGGCGGGGGATAAGTCAAGACCCAGTGGAAGTGCGTGGGCGGTCACCTGAAGACGAGAGAGCGGTTGGCGGGCGTGCCGTTGGCGCGCACTGTGGCCTGCACGCACCCCGCTCACGCGCGGCAAACGCGGGCGGAGATAGAGGCGAGGAGAGGCAGGGGGAGCAAGCAGGATGAGTCGGCGCGGCGCACACGGTACGCGCCGCACGGAGTGCCGCAGAAAGGGAGGATCTGCGGCTGCGCTGTCCCCACCAGTGGGGAAACTGACCTATTGCGCTCACGGAAGTGTGGCTGCGGTGCATACAGCGGCGAGGTGAGTGGCAGGCAGGCAGGCAAACAGGCATGCGGGCAGGCAGAGGTACGCACGAGTTGCACGAAGGACGCGGAGGGGATGTGCGCGTGCGCGTCGATGGACGACTGCAGCATCCGCCGCCAGAGCGGCACGGCGGCGGGAGACAGCGCGGCGGGTGCCGCCATGGGGCGCGATACTGACGGCGCTCGGGTGCTCCTTGGGTGTAACAGCTAACGGACAGGGGCACAAACGAAGGCGCTCGGCGGGGTAGGGGGGTGGGAGAAGCGAACCCAACAAAATTAGCGGATGCTGGTACGCAATACAAGCTTTCTCTTTCCTTTTACCATTATGTGTTTATCCTTCTGTCTTTTATGTATACAACCAAGTTACCAGATTGTAGCTTTGTGAGTCACCAATAATGAAACAACCATTTGTCATAAGGCCGAGAATGTTTTGGAGACTAAAACATGTAACATTAGAAGTTTAAAGGATTCCTACACTTGTATGCTCGCGCCACTCTGCGCCAAATTCACACATGCATGTGGTAGATTTTGCCACCAATCAGAATTGGAAAAAGAACTGTTAACCGTTGTTCACTAATCTACTGTACCGCCCTAATGCAAGCTGTAGCGGACTAGACGTCTTAGCAGCTTCAGAGGCGGACCTTGAAGATGTAGGTGGCCCAGTTGGTCCACTCGGTGCGCGGCACACCCGGCACATACTCCACCACGGCCCATGCATTGCCATGCTCGTCCGTGGTGGCCGTGTGGTAGTCCCCATACCGCATTGCCCTCTCCTCAAACAGGTACCCTGCCGGCCATGCCACCACACCACGATGGATGAATGACATGTCACATGTGTGTCACGGTGGCACACAAGGTATCGCGTAAGCACGGACAGGGTGACAACATCATTCATAGCAAGGCCATGCTACATGAATTACTCATATCCAATGGCACATGCTGTCAAGTTGGCTCACCAGAGTAGTCATCGAGGGGAGCTCCCCCGGGTGCTGCAACTGTGACTGGGCCAACACGTAGAGCCGAATCCACAAGGGCATATGCAGCAGAGGGGTAGAAGGACGGGCCCGCCAGTGCTGCTGCTAGTATGCCCCTGCCGCGCCTGACAGCAGGGAAATATCAGAGGTGGAAATAACACCATTGAAACCCACACCATTGAAACCCAGAACCATTCACTAGCCTAACAGCCAGCGGCACCCCAACCGGGAAGTACACATGTCCATCCCACTCGCACCTGTTGAGCGCCATGGCAGGGCGTAGCAGGCTGTTGCCCTGCACGCCCACCGCCTTGAACCCCTTCAGCTGCGCTTCGAACGACCACCCGCCACTTGCTGCCTCCACGGCTTCTGTCTCCCCCACACTGCCATCCGTTACCACCTCTGAGGATGGCTCTCCAGATGCCACCTCCCCTGACGCCTCTCCAGATGCCACCTCCCCTGACGCCTCTCCAGATGCCACCTCCCCCGACGCCCCTCCAGATGCCACCTCCCCTGACGCCTCTCCAGATGCCACCTCCCCTGACGCCTCTCCAGATGCCACCTCCCCTGACGCCTCTCCAGATGCCACCTCCCCCGACGCCCCTCCAGATGCCACCTCCCCTGACGCCCCTCCAGATGCCACCTCCCTTGACGCCTCTCCAGATGCCACCTCCCCTGACGCCTCTCCAGATGCCACCTCCCCTGACGCCTCTCCAGATGCCACCTCCCCTGACGCCTCTCCAGATGCCACCTCCCCCGACGCCTCTCCAGATGCCACCTCCCCTGCCGCCTCCGCTCTGAGTCTCAGCCTGATCCTAGCCAGCACCACGGACGATGACCCAAGAGCAGGCCCGAACGCAGAGGTGAAGGCCAGCCACATGGTGTGGCGCTCTGGCTGCACCACCACGGCCTGCATGCCCGCTGCAAACGCATCTATCGCCGCCTCCCTGCGGTTGAACCGCCACGCCGTGGGGGTGGGCCCTGGCCTCTGCCTCACCGGCATCGGCAGGAAAAACGGCGGCGTCTCAACGGCTGCGATGTGCGGCACGACGCGATCAACGGCCTCGGTTGACCCGAGCGCGTCGGTACCAGTTAGAGCAAAGGCGCCGATGATGGTGACGTTGGGAACGAGAACGGTCTCGTTGGGCGCACCGTTGAAGTTGACTCCCATCCAGCCAAAGTACATGGTGCCGTTGTTGGAGTGGTCATATGAGCCATCAGCAGGGACCTTGTGTGGGTACACTGTGTAGGAGGGGCTGGTAAGCGCTGGCGAGTACGGGATGGCCACGCGCACGATGGCGGCGGTGCACGTGCGGGATAGCTGCTCCTTGGAAATGGCACTGCGTACGGGGGGGGGGATAGGGAGGTGCAGAGAGGGGATTGGGTGGGAGAGGAAGGCGATACGTGGGGCAGCAGCACATGAGGGCAGAACATATGGGTTTTCCAAGTCTGTGCGCATGACATTTGTAACATGTGCGCGACAGTTAAATTGGAGAGATGCACATGTGGGTTGCAGTTTCGCACCATAACTGCGGGGAACAGAGATGACGCGGTAAGAAAGGTAACTGAGTGCAGAGCACTTTAAGCCTCTGAGAGTGCAGCAAGCACGCACGGCAATCACACGGCCCACTGCCACTCTCCACGCGTCAAGTCACCATGCCTACACTCCCCATCCAGTGCCCTCCGTCCCAGGACCTTGCTGCAGGGCAGCGCTCACATGCAGAGCGGGAGTGGTGGACGTACTAGATGTTGGCGCCAAAGTACTTAGACTCCTCCAGGCCGAACTGGTTCACTGCCACAAACACACCTGCCGCACGCACAGGGGGCGCGCTCGGGGGAGAGGGGAGCGAGCAGGGACAGCACGGGGGCATGCACGGGGCACGGGTCAGTGATACCACTTGCTGCGCGGCTCCGCACGTTCTGTGTGCCTTGCTTCTACCCTGTGCTGCTCCTCTCTGTGTTGTGCTACTGGAACCAGTGCTTGAACCATCATGCAAGCACAATTACAAATAATCGCTGCCGCCATGCCTCACAGCTCACCATGTGCGTCCGTGCCGATTTGCGGGTAGTCCTCTGCACCACGCAGGCCAAGATTACATGCCGGAGAAGGGCGGACAGGGAAATACAAAACGAGGGGAGCAGATGTGTGAAGCAGTGAAACCTGGTGAGCAGGTGACACGGGCCATCACTACGTAAAGACAAAATTGGGAAAACGGACAACTGACTGATTGGCCAAGGCAGAAATTGACAACATTTAGCACTGCTAGAAAGATCTGGAAGCAGCAACTGTGATGCGTGGATGTGGCCATGTTACGGAGAGTTGTGAGCTTGGACGTGTTGTAGTAGAGAGGTGCTCCCCAATCAGGGTTGGAGTTGTTGCCGTCGTTGCTGCCAAGTGCAGCAATGAAAATACAACACCCATATGCAGCACGTAACACCCATGGCACTCAAATGCCCATGTTGCATGGCACACCAGTGGAATATGCAAAATTCATCCACCAAAAAGAGAGGGAGAAAGAGAAAGCGCAGAGCATGTGAAGCTCCATGCATGAGTATACCAGTTGGCAGCGGCAAGGGCATGATGAGGGGCATGACAAGACCAGTGGCCAGTGGGGGGAAACAAGGCCACCTGCGGTGAGGGTGCGGTGGATAACATGCATGCGCAGGGGAGAGGGTTGATGCACGACACACTGACATTGACGCACAGAAGCTTGGAGTTTGAAGGCGATTGGGGAGTGCACAGCTGTGCAAGTCTTCACATGGTCCACATCAAAGGGGCACAGGCACGGCAGAGGTGGTGCTAGAACGCAAGTGAGGGGTTGGGCAGGGAGTGGCATACGAGCCGGGGATGAAGAAGACGTTCCATGGCTGGGTGGGGTCGGCGCCTGTGGAGGCCGCCACTATCACCCCCGACCCCACCGTGCGGTTCCCCCGCTGCCTCGTCTGCCCAAACCTGTCATACCCGTTGCTCGCCCCTCCAGACTGCACGTTGGGAAGGAGTGGAGGGGGAGAGGCAGAGCGGTGGACGGTATGAAGGAAAAAGACAAGCGAGATAAGATTGACCTGAGCGTGGCTGCCGCGTTTCCCCTTGTATAAGATTGACTGACTTGAGCAGGTCGCTCGTTTGGGCAACTGCAACTTCCCCTTTCCGCCCTCTGCGCAATGAAATCAAGCCATGTCCCCCCATGCCCTGCACGAAGCATGGGCGCCCTGACACACATGCCCGTCCACCAGGCCCCTCCTCCTTTTCCACATCTCCACACACGAGCACGACCGCGCAACAAGCATGGCGCATGTGAATACCACGTGTGCATGGCCCTCACAAGGCAAGGCGCTGCCAGGCAGCAATGTTGCGCCGTGTGTGAGGCAAGAGTGAGCAGCGGTGGGGAGGGAGGGAGGACTCACGAGCCAGTAGGAGGAGAGGAAGAAGCGGCGGGCAGCTGGGTCGTAGGTGCAGGACATGTCCCCAATGTTGTCCCCCCGCACCGATGCACTGAATGGCTCCCGGCGCTCCACCACGCTGGGCAACACGTTGAAGAACTGCGCGTGTGGGGTGAGAGGCGAGGCATGGCATGGCATGGCATGGCATGACATGCGAGGGTATTAAGATAAGAGCTTGGGTGGGGTGCGCAGAGGACGAGCAGAGGCAGCTTCAAGTGGCAGCCTTGAGTGAGGAGCGGTCCTCTGGAGAGACAAGCTTGCCAGTGAATGAGCAGGCCGCGTGGGCATGGGGGGAGAGTGAGAGAAGAGGCACATTTTGAAACACTGGCTGGCAGTCCACCCAAGAACCAGCACATGTAAGAACAGCATAAAGTATGGAACTGGCACAAGCACAGCAGGCTTGCAAGTGAGCTATGCGCATGAAATGGTTGCAGTTGTGGCTTGCCTCGTTGTGTGGAATGGTGCGAGTGAGCTGCCGCCCTTGTGTGTTGTACACTGCGAGAGCTGCCACGAGCCAACAGGAGCGAGCGGAGAGAGCACAGAATGAGCCGTGTGTGGGAGCGACGAGGATGATTGTGTGTGTGAGCAGGAGACATACATCATGACATACATATTTGCGATGGTGATGATTTGCGCTTGGAGTGGAGGGTGTCTCACCGGTGTTGACGGTTTGCAGTATGAACCCGTTGCCCACACACAAGCCGCCATCCGGTGGCGTCACACGCACCTGCCACACCATGCCATGCCATGCCATGCCATTCACGCACACCACCACCGCCACGTGAGATCACAACAGAAACAATGAAGGCAGCTACTACATGTGATGTCGGCAAGGCAAGGACCAACTGAAACTGCCTGGCCTAGGTTTCTCCACTGTGCCGTGTGGTAACGGACGACCACCCAACCCAACCAGGAATGCCGGGCAACAGCACACAGAGCTGTGGTGTCACTCACCACGGAGTGGTTGTACGTGGGCGCAGTGCCGCTGTTGACCTCGCTGTACTGGCTGATCCCACGGAACCCCACTGCTGCTCGCCGTGCCACCACCGCCTTCACCTCTGTCTCGCGCGCTGCCACCGCCCCCGCCCGCGCCAGCTGCTGCACCTGCCCGGGGAGGAGTGGTGGGGACGTGGGGATGGGGGGAGCGGCGGTGTGGTGTGGTGCAGCAGAGCTTGTGAGGCGTGCTGGGGATGGTATGGCAGGTGTTGAGTGCAGGGCAGGCGGTGTACGCATATGTGCATGTGTGCGAGTGCGAGAGTGTGTGCTTGTGTGCGGTGTCGTCCCAACTTTACCCCTCAACTTACAAACTGCTCTAGCAACGGATCAGCACCAGCAGCAGGCGCAGGAGCAGGCGCGGGGGCGGAAGAAGGGGCAGCAGTGGCAGCCTCCCCCCCTGCTTCCGCGCTCTCCCCACGCCCCTCAGCAGCGAGCATGCCCCCCTGGCGCGCCCCCTGCGGGTACCGGATGCGCCTGATGGCCTGCTCGTTGCGCTGCTCCACTGCCTCATCGCTAACATCACCCTCTGCTGCACCCGCGCCCGTTTCAGAACTGCTGCTGCCCGACCCACTGGGGCTGCTGCTGCCACTGGGGATGAAGTCAGTGCCGCCTCCACTTGTGTCACTGTCTTGGTTGCTCGCACTGCTGCTGCCCGGCTCCCTGCCCGACTCGCTGCTGCCATCCCCCTCGCTCCCACCATCACCACCACCACCACCGCTATCGTCACCACCAGCGCCATGGCCTGCACTGCTGCTGTCGCCGCTGCCAGCATCATCCGCGTGGTCCATGGGGGGCAGCACGGCAGTGCCAGCGAACAGCAGTCGCTCCGGCAGTGTGAACACCTCCACGCTCTCATCCAACGTGCGCAGTGGAGCAATCGTGTACCGCCGACCGCCGCCGCCTGCCGCCGCCGCTGCTTGCGCTGCCGCCACGGCCGCCAGAAGCAGCAGCGCGAATCCCAAGGTCGCATCGCCGCGGCGCGACCCGAGTCGCAGCGTCGAGCCGCCGCTCGCCCGCGGCGTTCCAGACGGGCGGTGTGAGGGCGCGCTGGCTCGACGCCGCAACGCCATTCGCGGGCAGGTAGCGCCGCGCGACGCCGCGGATTCCCGCATGGCAGGAGGTGGGCGGAATCAGCCACGTGCGGACTCGCCTCGCGCCTTGAGCCTCCCCCTGCCACCCGCGATCGCTGCCTGAAGACGTACGGCGCGAGGAAATGCGCGCGGGGGCAGGCAATGCAAGTGCACTGGTAGAGGTCGCGTGGTGAGCTCCAGAGCAACGGGCGACGGGATGGGACGCCCCAGCAATGGTGGTATATAACGCCCGAGTGTCCATTATGCTCCTGCTGGCCGGGCCTGGGCAGATGGCGCTGCAGAGAGCGTCGGAGGGAGAGGAGGAGTGCAGCGGGACTGGGAGTCCGATGGGGGAGCGGGACCTTGTGGCTGTCGACCGACGCGGCGAGAACACGGGCGGCAATCGTGGCGTCACGGGCGCATCGAATGGGAGAGATGTGTCCGTTCCGACCCGCCGCGTGCTCTGGATTGGGGTCAGTCAGGTCATGAGTCGAACTATTGAGAATGGAAGGGAAAGGGAAGTCTTTCGACCATCACTGTAGTAGACGGTTCGCGACACATCGGAGGGCACAAGAGAACTCACTAACGTCGGTCTCGACATGCGCCGACGACTCCAGATGAGAATGATAAAGAAAAAAAAGGTTTACTATCGTCACCGTCACATGTCAATCCATTATTGATAGTGTTCAGTTAAGCTTCAGGATATTTATTTCTCGCATTAAATGTTGTGTTCTCTCTATGTTGGCGAATTTGATCGACGCTTCGTTTCTCTCAAATTCTGATATACTAGAGTATTCGTATTTAATGAGATACGTAAAAAACACGAGATTACATGGCTTCCCGTTTGATAAACGGCTGAAAAGTCATTTACAGTATTCTGTATGAGAGTTGACAAAGTTTGTTGTATATCGCCTCTATAGAGGGCATTATCAGTTTCGCAAAATTTGGGACTGTAGCGAAGTTGAGAACTATCGTCACCGTCACGGCGTTCTCGTAGCCCGCGGTTTCCCTCGATTATTTTCTTTATTTCCTCCCTCACGTCCCCCTTGTTCTTGCCCCAGGTCCTTACCTATTTGCTCACGCTCTTTGAGCTCACCCCAAGTTAGCTTTGCGGATCGTGCTTTCTTCAAAGCGCTGACATCATCGCCTAGGGTGAAAGTGTGATATTTTAGGCTCTTGTGCGGCGGACAGAAGTTGCCGACAATGGTAGGCGCGTTCGCACTCCATCTCCCACTACTCCATTGCCTTTCCCCGCAAGCATGTTCGCGCAGATGCTACGTGTAATCCCCACCTCATTCCCCCTTCATTCCCTCCTCTTCCCTCTCCGCTCTTCACTCAACCCTCCCTTCCTCCCTCCGCGCACGAACCTCTGCTGTGTCCCTGGCGGGCGGCGGGCAGTCGAAGGCGGCGCAGGCGAAGAAGCGCGGGTTGTCGCTGGAGGAGAAGCGCGAGAAGATGCTCGAGATCTTCTCCGAGACCAAGGACTTCTTCCTCGTAAGCCCCTGCCAAGCCCTCTCGCTTCTTGCGCACACCCCCGGGATCAACTGCATCCTCAGTATGCACATCCGGAATATAGGTTTCCCTTCGCCCCCCCTCATTTCTCTCCTTCACTCTGTCGTATCACTCTCTCATCTCTCACTCGCGCCTGTCTACCCCATACCCGTGCCTCTCCCCGCTCGCCTGTGGCAGCTGAAGGAGTTGGAGCGGATGGGCGCGAAGCGGGGCGTGATAAGCCAGGCGGTGAAGGACGTCATACAGACGCTCGTCGACGACGACCTCGTGCTGCGCGACAAGATCGGCACCTCCGTCAGTCGCACGCCCTCCTCCCCCCCCCCCCCCCCCCCCCCCCCTCCTTCCTTTCCCAACAACTGCCCAACAACTCCTTCCCTTTCCTACTCCAAGCCCCTCTTCTCGCCCTCCACCACTCTGCAGTGTATCTGCACCCCTGTAGATTCCCCTGCACCCCATCTGCTGGGTAGAGGTCTCTGCTGGTACCCATCTGCCTGCACTGACGGCGCCTGGTAGAGATTGACAGCCCTTTCGACTTGCTCCTTTCCAATGCCGTGACACTGCCTTGCATTGCACCCGCTCCTTACTGCCTATCTACGTCCCTGTCTTCACCCCTCCATGCAGGTGTACTTCTGGAGTCTGCCCAGCAGTGCAGGGAACAAGGTGAGCCTGCTCCATTTCTCGTTCATCGCTCCGCGCGTCCATCCATGGATGTCATGTCATGCTGCCATGTCATGCTGCCATGTCATGCTGCCATTCTCTTCACACCACATGCCATGCCTGCCTGCTCGCTGCTGTGGAAGCAGCCCATCCCATCCCATCCCATCCCATCCCATCCCATCCCATCCCATCCCATCCCATCCCATCCCATCCCATCCCATCCGATTACAACCCCTTAACGCCACACCTCTCCACGGGCACCCCATGCAGCTGAGGCAAGTGGAGGCGCAGCTGACAGCGGAGGTGGGCGAGCTGCAGGCCAAGAAGGCGCGCCTCGACGCCAGGCTTCAAGCCGCTCAGGCGGGCCGCCAGCAGTCGGTCAGTGCCACCCCTGCCACGCACTGCACTGCTGCCTTGCTCCCTTTCCACACAGGCGTGCTAATATCGTGTGCTCGCCTTGAGCCACACGGCTTCCTTTGCACTACTCATGGCCTTGTTGTTCCGCGCACGGCTTGCACTTGCTATGTTATACTCACATGCGTCATCTCATCGCCATGGGTTAGTGTGTGTGGGCCGTGCATGGCAGGAGGAGCGGAGCAAGGCGCTGGCAGACCTGGCTGTGCTGCAGGCGAAGAACCGCAAGCTCAAGGTGCGTGGCCCCTTAAACTGGTAAGGGGGTGCAGCAAAGACAGGGTTGACAGGAAGTGCGTGAGCGAGTGAGGAGAAGGGACGAGGAGGGAGTTATGTGGTGGTACGTTCATATGGCATCTGCATGGCTTCCGCCTTTTGCTCCTGTCCCCTCCTTCCTGCTGCTCTTCCGTCGCTCCAGCTTCATTCTGCACTGCATTGTGCGTGCGCGCATGCTCGTCTTTTCTCCCGACACTTTGTGATCGTATGTGCACTGCGCAGGAAGAGCTGGCAGAGTTTGCGGAGAATGACCCAGAGCTGCTCGAACACAAGAGTGCGTCGCTGCTGCCTTGCTCTCCAGTTTCGCTGCTCCTTTTTCCTAAAATGTTCTGCACCAGACACAAAACATGCTCTTCATATGCCCCTCACTCTTTCTCTCTCCCCGCCATGCTCCCCTCTCTAGACACCAGTCGCCGTTTATTATCTCTAATCACTCCCATTCACCATGTCTTGTGCCATCCTATTCTCATCAGCTTGCCTTTTAATGCCATTCCTGCCTCACATGGGGCGTGTGCACGTGGTGTGGGTGTGCAGTCAAAGTCACGCGGATAGCCAAGGATGCGGCCAATCGATGGACAGGTGACCCCCCTGCACCCATGCCCCTCCCTCACGCACCACCACCTCGTTCACTCTTGGTTATCCATGAAAGCGACTCCTCTCTCCTATGCCGCTTGTGACATTCGTTTGTCTCCGTCCGGCCCACACAGCAACAAAGCACTGAGTGCGATGCACCCACCCATGCGTCACGCGGCCCCTCCCACCCCTGCCAGAGAACATCTTCGCCCTGCAGCAGTGGTGCAACGACCAGTTCCCACAAGCACCTGAGAAGCTCGCCCAGCTGTATGAAGAGGTGAGGCAGGGGTCTTTCAATGAGAAAGCCGGAATTCTTCGTTGTGGTAATGGAACCGAAGGAGAGTTGGGAGGGAGATTGGGCTTATTCTTGCATTTGCCAAGTGGTTGAGCTGTTCTTTGGTGCTGGTGGTGGTGTGCAGGTTGGACTCACAGATGACATAGACTATGTTGAATGAGCACCACAGGGAGCCCAAATGCACTGCACCCCTTGTACAGAGTGTATATTGTAACTGGTGCCTGTGTGTTGGATCCCCCAGGTCCTTAACAGACATCGCATGCTATTTTATCGAAAAGTTCCTTATCACCCCATTCAAAATATGAATTTACACCTTCGGACCATAATGAAGTCTTCAACACTGGTATGGGGAGGCACATGTGCAGGGCCCAAAATTGGTTTAGGCCTACTCTTACAAATCAGGGTACCAGCCCCTCCTTGAACAGACCCCTAGGGTAGATTTTCCCGTAGCCTGATTTCAGCAGGGTAACTCAGACACTAGGCTGATTTGAGCAGGGTATTTTTGGGCCAACCCTGTTTTGGTTACGGTTTATTGAGATACAGTTCTAATAAGATCCGAAATAAAGTAATACACACAAAGTCCATAAACTCTTCAAAAGTTTCACATGAACTACACACCTACACAGTGCCACCACCACTGCCTACATCTTCTACAAACTGAGTCTGTGAAGCTCTGGTGGGGTCGAACTCCCTGGTGGATCGCCTCAGCTTCTCTCCACGAAAGATGGCGACCACCTCAAACCAGTCGACATCGTAGCGCAGCAGGGAGCAACGCATGAGATGCTCCAGGCTTGTGTCGCCAAGGCTGCCACGGCCCCACGTCTTGATCAGATTCTGCTTCGAGAAGCCACGCTCGCATTCGACCGTGCTCAATGGCAGCACGGCCACTGACTGCCACATCCGCATGATGTTGGGGAAGGAGACACGCCATGCATCATCCCGCAGCATGTTCGTCAGCGCCTGGTGGAATTCCTCGTTGTTGTGCTGGGCGAACATTGTGGATGTAAACATCCACAGCTCCTGCTGGGCTCTCTTGTAGTCGAACCCTGTGGTGGGGCGGATTGCGGGTGAAAGCTAAGCCGATGCTCGGAGACACGGGTAGGGGTGGGGGGCATTAGTCCAACAAGCCACAGTATGCAGGATGTGCAATGGTCAACCTCAAGGCAGGCATGAGAGCGACAACAAACATGATAACATGTGCAAGCGCAACGGAAGGCTTACCAGGCAGCATGTGGTGGTACAGCTTGTGCAGCTGGCCGAGCCACTTCTTGAAGGTTTCCAGCCGCTTCGTGTCGTCGGACACGTACGAGGCTGTGCGGAAAAGCTTCGAGCCTTCCATAAGCTCCAGGTCTCGCATCCGCCACTCCACCTCCTTGTCAATGGCGCGCACGTGCTTGATCGCTAGCTCGACGCACGCCGTAAAATCGCCTCCCGTCTCGTGTCCAGGCAGCGGGCGCCCGTGCAGCGTGAACTCAAACGTCACGGGATTCCCGTCCCCGTCTACGCCCTCCGCCTTCATCTCGCGCTTGTCCGTTTTCCCGAGGCTCTTAATGAACTCGGGAAGCTGCATCTTCTCCCCGCTGCCGAAATGATGTGTAGGGTCGTGGAGGGAATACCGCGTCTTCAGACGCAGCCTTGTCTGCTGCACGATGTGCGCAACAAGGGTGATGTCCACCTGCACATTGGGATTTCAACCAGTTCGTTAGTATGCAAGCTTGCAGCCGACACCAAAAGCGACCAACAGAGACGCGTACCTGGCGCTGCTGGAATCGGAGGTTCAGGCTATTCAGTTCCCACAGCACATCCGCTAGAAAGCGGATGAGAAAGTGGAACTTGAACGAGGTAACCACCTCGTACAGTTCCGCCTTGTAATCCTTCAAGACCACTATGGCCGCAGGTAGCACGTCGAGCAAGCGATGTATCGCTTCACCGCGGGCGAGCCAGCGTGTGTCGCTAATCCCCTGCGCCTCGAGATTCGTCTGGCAGAAAATCCGCTGCATCTTCTGGAACTTCGCGTAGTCCACGCTGCTGCGGCCTATGTGGTCAGCGAAGGCGTGCACGACATCGTCGATCATCAGCAGGTCAGGTACCTCTTCAGCAGCATCACTGGCAGCGAGTGCCTCCCTGAACACAATCTCGCAACAACACAGAAGGTTAGTCAACCAGCATAAATGGTATACCAGCAGCACAGAACATACACCGATGACGCTTACCTATGAGCGATACAATGGGTGGAGGCCAGATGCGGGATGCGCATACGAAGGCGTGTCACGACTCCCCGGTTCTTGCCGACCATGACGCTGGCACCATCGGAGGCGACGCTGGATATCTTCATGAGGTCGACCCCGATACCTGTCAGGTACTGCACGACAGCAGATGTGAGTGAGGCACCGTCACAACGTTCAATGGTGATGAGAGTCAGGAACTCCGTGACCACCGTGGTGTGCTGGAAGAACGTGGCGTAGAGAATGAGATGTTTCCAGTTCACACGGTCCGTGCTCTCGTCGAGTTGAATCCCTATCCACGGGGAGTCGAGCAGGTGATGGCGCTGTGTCTCTTGTAGGTATGTCGAGAGGGCGCGCATGTTCTCTTTGAAGCCGTAATTGCCAAGGGACAAGAGTGGTGGTCAAATCACCGTGTATATAAATAAAAACACATCTGGTATCACCAAATCAGCAAACCACTTACTCAGTGTAGTACGCGCCGTAGCCGCCAGCGGGAGGAAGGTCTGGTAACCCCTCCTTCGCCAGAAACCAACACAGCGGGACGAACATCGCTATGGGAGCGTCGGCCTTACATACAAAATGCGCGATGTGGAGGAGCCGAATGATGTGACGAGTGGATGCATCCGTGGCCTGCCAGCGTGTGATAGAAGCCTGCTTCGCCTTCTCCGCCTCCGCCTTCTCTTGACTCTCCAACGCCTGCTTGTGTGCACGGGATGAGGTGTGAGTGCGGATGCTGCCGATCTGGAGATCCCGCGCACCCTCACCCCTCGGTCCGTACGCGGTGTGCGCTAGTGGGTATCCATGCTTCACACAAATAGCACACTTCAGAGACGGACGGCCGTTAGACATGCGCAGTAAACGCAACCACTTGAAGCTACCTGCCCACTGACCCTTCAAGGTCTTCTTCACCGACTCATACTCAGCATCCGCCAGAGCGGTGGGTGGCTTCGGATCGGCAGAAGGAGCAGAGCGCTCGTGGGGAGTAGCGTTTCGGGGAGGAGGGGCGCCCCAGAGCGTCTGCTGCTTGTACGTTGTTCCCACACGCGGTCGCTTCACGGGCGCGGTGCTGACAGTAGACGGCGAAGCAGTGGGCGGCTTTGACGATCCCTCGCCGCCGCCGGGAACTAATTCAATGTCTGGATGTGGCTCCCACGCCGTCGGTGAGTCTGGAGGCTCGAACGGATAAACCGTTCCTACCACTACTTCTGGTGACGGCTCACGAGGCGGCGGCTGAGCGATGGGCACGGCGTAGTTCTCGCTAAGGCGTGGTAGAACGCCCAGCACAGAGAGTCCGTTCCTCGCGTCATCTGGTGGATCGGGCTCTTCAGTGGGCATTGTGGAACTGAAAAATGAGAAAGGTTGAAAATGAGGGCCAAGCGAGAGACCCCCTCGTAGAGAACGAGCCTCTGGCTGACTCTCAGGGCCGTTCCTTGCATGCGGCAGAGAGAGAATGGCCAGCAAGGCAGGACAGCCGCTGCAATTTGCAGTCAAAGGACAGCTTGAAGCTGTCCTTGACAGCGAATTCTGCTGTGGTGGCGGTGGGCGTGGCTGTGGGTGGCAAGATTCGAGAATGACCTGGCAGTCCTACAGTAGAAACGACACATGGGGCAACATGGCGCGTTTCTGACAGCGAAGCAAGTTTCGCTACGCGTGTTCACAAGCGACAACAGGTGTTTGTGGGGGTGTTGTACATTTCGTCACCACGCGGACTGTGGTCAGATTCGCGCTAGGGAAGATTCGGTAAAAGGGTATTGTACACCCAACCCTGATTCCATCAGGCTAACTATAAAACCTATCAGGGTAAAAAAAAAAAATGCTCTTTTGAGAGAAGGGTAAGTATCCGGCATTCCTGATTTCAGCAGCGTAATCCTGAAAAAGCGACCGGCCCCCAGGGTAATCAGGGTGTTTTATCCTGATATTTTGGGCCCTGCACGTGTGTTGTGTTGGGCTAAGAAAAGTAACTACCCCGAAAGCAGAGTCGTATCGAATACGGCTGTTGTGGGGCCCTTTTATCAACCTTGTAACGCTGATTCAGCGTTAGATCAGGCTTTTTTTCTTGTATCTACTTAGGCTGAACTCCAGGGCTTCAGATTCGTTTTGGGCCACCCTTGGTAATAAGGGTTCTAGGAATAGTCAACCCTGACGCACAGGGTAAGTTTTTGTTATTTCCTAACAAATGCTGGGTGAAAAAACTTTTAACTCTGTTTGGCCAGGGTTTTTTCTTCTTTTTTTTTTATATTTATTTTTTAATATCTTATATGTGGTTTGACAAAAGAGTCAAGTTCAGCAGTTAGTGGTTCATTTGGTTCGATTTCGCGTTAGATCTGGAAGGTTGCATGTTCGAGTTTCGCCGTTGGGAGTATATTGCAAGGGCCTGCACAGTGTTTCGTGTCGCTACGGAGCACTCGCCATTAGTACAATTAGGATTGTACACTGTACAGTCAGAGTAATGTGTGTTGGAAACAAGTGATTTAAGCGCCTCTGTCGAGTCGAAACGCTAAGTCGTAAACGAAGCGTAATGTACCGTAAGGAAGCATCGACGAGTCAACCCTCGGAGAAGATTGAGTAACTGCTGGAGGTTACGCGAAAGTCAAAGGTCAGCGACCTTTGACCTGACAAGTACAGCGCGACAGCAAGGACAAACAACTGACTCGCTATTGAGCAATTGCTCGAGTCGTCACTGTATCGAACCGCAACAGCAACAGTATAATAGTTATTAGTTGTATCTTTTCATATTCCTTGTACTCTTATAAAACCTTGCATCTCTTTGCTTTAATTAATCTACTTTGCCCTCACATACTAGCGCAAGGTGGTTCAACAATCTTCATTAAACGCTTCCGCTATTACATCATTCCTACCAGGAGTTTAGTCCTGCAAAGATCCTAAGGGCTTTTCTCAGCCCAACATGGTATGAGAGCTATCAGGACAAATTCCACTATTAAGACACCTACAACATCAAAAGGCATGGCTACTCAGAAGGAAAGGAGTTCCTCTAATGGTTCTCCCGGCACTACTCCTACTCCACCTCCTGCCTCTGGCCTACAGACAGAGGAGGGTACGGCAACAAGACCAGCAGCAGGGTCCACCGAGACTCCTGGCTTCGACCCAAGCATGATGGAGAAATTCTTCTCCTTCATGTCCTTCTACGAGCAACACCAGCAATCGGCACCTGCGCAGTCAAACAACAGCAACAACAACAACGACGTGACTCCCATGAGTCTCGATGGCTCATCCTACGCGCGCGGAAATCAGCAACAGCAGCCTACCTTTGCTCCGTACGAGCCACAACGCGAATCCATCAGCTTCATGCCGCATCCGCAGCCTTTACCTGGATAAGAGAATTTACTGGACGCACTTCAAGTTCAGTCGCAATTCGCGCATGTCTTAAAATTGCAGACATCAAGACCATTCGACGGGAAGGATTTCTTCACCTGGTCGTGTCGAATTAGAACTAATGATGGAAGGCGCGCAGAACCTTGGCTTCTTCGACAGGTCCCTGCCATGTCCAACACACGGCGCACAGTACGACAAGCAGCAGTACACGTATCAGTCAATGATGGCATATACAATCCTGCTGAGAAACATCACTCCGAATCAGCAGCAGAACATTCGGTCTTACCGGGGATACAAGAACTCCGCCGAGCTCGCATACAACCACTTGAAGAACCTGTATCAAGCAACAGACAGCGTCAATCAGACTCGATTAATAGCGCAACTAACAACAGTCGAAATGAAACCGGGCGAAAAAGGGATGGCGTATATCAGTCGCTGTCGCGAGTTGCGCGACCAACTGCTTCGATGCGGAGGGTCGATATCAGAAGACGCCTTCGTCACACTCGTCATCGGCGGTCTTGGTCCTCATTGGCGGTCCACTCGCGCCATACTCCGAGCCCACGGAAAAATACCCGAAGCAGCACTCTGCGCCGAAATTCACGCCGAGCAGCAAGATATGGACCTGCAAGAAGAAAGGCACAAGAGGAAAACGTCAGTACCTGAGTTCGCTTTCCACACTCAACGGCGCTACAACAACAACAACCACCGACAGAACAAGAACCAAGGACAGCAACCCGTACCTCCGTTCTGTCACCTCCGCAAGACGTCAGGGCACCCACGCACATACTGCCCGAATCGACAGCAGTCATCACCGCCACAATGTCAACTTCGTCCATCAAGCAATCAAGTAGCATCCACGCAGGCGAACCCCACGAGTCAACCGCAGTCTTCAACAACATCGATGACGAAACCTGCACAAGGAGCAAGAAACATCGTCAGCTGCATGGCAAGATTGACCGACTCCTGCATCACCGAATCACCACCACATTACTCACCGGAAGAGCAACTCGACAACAGCACAACTCGCCGCGAGTCACTTCAACCGAACCCAACGTATGCAGCTATCGCCCGAAGCGAGCCGTCCGGAAAGGACACCTGGTTCTTGGACAGTTGCTGTGGACAACACATGTGCTCCTCGGGTCGCTTCGTTCAACGAGAATACGAACTTCAACGCGAAGTCGTCATCACCGTCGCCAACAACCAGAACCTGCGCACACGACGACAAGGCGTGGTTCAACTTCAGTCACGGGAGACGAACGTTATACTACAGATGTCGAAGGTTTTAATAGCAGAAGGACTCGGCTACAACTTACTCAGTATTAGCCAGCTAATGGCGAAAGGCATTCACCTCGAAGCAGACAGCACCACCCAAGAATTCAAACTGTACCACGGGAGAGGCGGACTTTACATCGGGAAGGCGGTCCTGAAGAACAACGTCTTCGTACTCAAATTCGTTCCAGATCTCGGCACCGCCGACAGCGACGGAATTGTGACCTTCACCTCCTAGACCCACCCTCCAGATCTTGACCCAGACTTCAGCCCCGGCGGCTTCTGGCATTCCCACACGATACCTGAGGCAGAACGAACAAGAGCGTTAGCAACAATTCAACAATCGGCAGCAGCAGAGACAACATCGGCAGCAGCAGAGACAACATCGGCAGCAGCAGAGACAACGTCGGCAGCAGCAGAGACAACGACAGCAGCAGTAGCAACATCAACACCAATCGCTGGCCCTTCAACACCATCGGTTTCAACACGGTGTTAAATAACACGATAAGAGCAGGCGTGCTCGACGAAGACTCCCTACTTCTTGTTATAGTCACAATAGGCTACAATAGGCCTAAAACGAAAGATAGAGTGCGCAGTCAGATTTCTGCACAGCGGCTTTAAACGATCATAGCGATCTGGTCACAGCTCCAAATGACCTCATTCAACTTGGATCTAGAGCGTCTTGATGTCGGCTAAAATAGACAATTTAGATCGCACAATTTCATGCAGAATTGACGACACAGCGTCAGATTGAACGAACGGCACTATGGCAGCAACATAGTCTTAGGAACACAATTACGAACAGCTAGGAAGAGTTGCAAGTTGGGAAGGAATCCCAGCTCCTACAAACCCCAAGAACCGAGCTACAGTGATGGGGAACAGTGCCACACTGTCCCCAACCAAGAAGGGTCTCGAAACTACCCTTCACAAGGGCCTACACCAACTTGAATGTTACACTACACTTTGTAATGTAACTATCTTCAATATCTTGGGGTGTACCCTTTTGGCGAGCTTCGAAATCACTTGAAGCTTGAACCAAGGCTCGGGTTCTTCATCACAAAACTCATCCTCGAGTTCTTGATGGGTCTGCTGCACACACCTGCGACACGCCGAACGTTCGACAAGCGACAAAATAGAAACCGCGCACGGGACACACGACAAAATAGAAACCGCGCACGAGACACAAATGACCGCATTAACACGCGGTTAGCGATAACTCGCTATTGACTCGACACACACACTCGACATCATGACCCGTCATGCACACACAATTATAAGCATGAAAATATATATACCATTTCATGCCCTCATTCCATTCCATGCACACACGCATGCACGTACACGGACAACAAGCCGAGTGCAAACCGTAGGGTTGCACCAACAAACTCCCCCTCGGGTTGTTGGCCCTAGGAACTTGCTCTCTCGATTCAGAGCCATCCCAGCCAGCTTGCAACACTTCCAATGCTGCTGCTCCACCAGCCCCGTGGTCTTCACGTAACGCAACTCAACTTCACCCGCGGCCACCATGCACCTTGTTCGTCCAATGCCACTTCACCCTCATGTGCTTGGTCAGGCCGTGTAACACAGGGTTCTTGGCTAGAGCTATGGCTCCCTGGCTGTCACAGTAGAGAGGGGTAGGTCCTTGCTGCTCCTCCCCCAATTCAGCCAACAAACGCCGCTGCCACACAATCTCCCGTACGGCACGGAAGAGTGCCATGTACTCGGACTCCACC